CCAGGCTGTGCCCAGCCCAGTGTGTCCAGAAGGACAGAGCTGGCCTGAAGGGAGAGCCCAGTTTCCATCTGAGAAACCAAAAGGCTGTTGAAGCTTTTCCTTTGATCAGAATTTCAGTGCTTTCCAGAGATACCAACTAACACACGGTCCATAAAATGAGATGTGTGCATCAGGTGACACAGAGGCTTCTTCACAAAAGAGGCAATTACAGTGTTAATTACTGGAGGGGGCAGATGAAGAGGAGGAGCTCTCCTTGCACTGCCTGGGTTGGTTTTCCCCAGGCTGAGGCAGCCAAGCTGGTTCCCATGGGCTTCACCACAGCCACGGAATTCCACCAGCGGAGGTCGGAGATCATCCAGATCACCACTGGCTCCAAGGAACTGGATAAACTTCTTCAAGGTGATCATTTCATTTCTCTTGATTGATTAGCCTTCATTATCTGCCTTTCTTTGTTCTGCAAACACCTCCCTTGGACAGAAACTCTTCAGACACAAGTTCTGCAACACGAACCAACCTCGGCGTGAAAGCCAGTTTTTCCAATTAGACTTTTGAACCTTTAAACCAAAGCAAGTGTTGAACCCAGCCTCTCTAGAAGTAATACTTTACATGTGTGCTTTGCCTGAAGTGCTTGACCTTCTTTGAGTTACTTTATTTTGATTGTTCTTGCTGTTTTCCCTGCAGGAGGAATAGAAACAGGATCCATCACGGAGCTGTTTGGGGAGTTCCGCACTGGCAAGACCCAGCTGTGTCACACCCTGGCAGTGACATGTCAGGTGAGCTCTGCTCTTCCTTCCAGCCCAGAGCCCAGGCAGCACAGCCTGGGGAGCTTTGCTCCTCTGGGCACTTTTCTCAGCCAACAGGAATGGGATGGATATAAACAGCTGCAAAGCACGGGAGTGTTTGCAGCCCCCTTGGCTGACCCTGTAGCTTTCTAGGATCTTTTGGCTGGGGCTTGGTCTCCCTGCTGAGATGACCTCAGCAGCAGTTCAGTTTGGGGTGTTTCTTGCCTGTTTAGCATGTCCTGCAGCCTTTTTTGTTTTCCTCCTCAGTGTCCTGGTTAACAGGTTAAACCAGGTTTAACATGTCAGCCTTGTAACAGAGTTTTAGGCCTTACCTGCAGAGAAGCACTTGCCCTCCTTGCAGGTGCTCCTCACCTGTCTCATCACCAGGAGTGTTGCAGGGAGAGAAGCAGCTTGGGTCTTGGGTTCTAGGCCTTTCTCTGAGTAGCTGCTTTTTTCCTAAGGAACCTGGAGCTGATGTTTCCTTTTGTGAAAGCCTTCAGCAGGCTCTTGCTGCCCAACAGGAGATGAGCTTGGAGTGGCCTTTTATCCTAATTTTAGTTCAAGCACTTAAAAACTGTTTATTACTTTCTAGAGGTTATTTCATGTTATGTATTTGTTATTTCATGCAATGTTAGAGGTTTTAGGCTTAATTAAGTCATCTAGTTAACACCCTTATGCACCTAAATGTACCAACAGACAGCAAAGATTGAAACGGGAACCTGGCTTCTCCCTTTTCCCAGATCAATGTCCCTTTAACCACAGCAGCTGGGGATGTTGAGTGCTGCAGGCTGGGGGCACCAGGGAGTGGCTGGGTTATTTGTTGACCCTGGGTCTCCTTTTACTTCCTCCCAGCTGCCCATCGACCGCGGCGGCGGGGAGGGCAAGGCCATGTACATCGACACCGAGGGCACCTTCCGCCCGGAGCGCCTCCTGGCTGTGGCTGAAAGGTCTGTCCTGGTCTCCACTCTGGCCAAAAGCATCCAAGGAGGGGTTGCCCGAGGGAGGAGACTCCAGCCCTGAAGGTGGAGGAGACTCCAGCCCTGAAGATGTTCACCGCCCACAGTGCTGAGCTGCAGCTTCACCCTGCCTTGGTCCTGGCTGGAGGGCTGGGAAGGGAGAATCAGTTACCTCTGTTCTCTCTCATTGGGGAAAAAAAAAAAAGGATCTAAAGGGGATAATCAACTGGTTCTCCAAATGTTAAGGGATCTCTGGAAGTGCCATATGATTTAAATTCAAGATGTGGAATGTGACCATCTTTGTTATTTATTTGCTTTGGCAGTTAAGCAGTGCCAGGCGTTGCAGGTGGAGGGCTGCTGGTCACTGGTTTTCAGTGGCAATGTTCTGCTTTCAGAACAACCTGTTCCAGAGTGGTAGTTTTCCTTCACTGTGGTTTTCTTGGAGGGAAGTTTCTGGTGTCCTACTGCCCTGCTGTGACTAGGCAGGAAAATACTCTTTAAAATTGGTTCTCTTTCCACCTGCGAGTTGTGGACAACATTTTCTGTTGTCCATTTTAATCTCTACAGACCCTCCCAGGAATGTCAGCTTTTATCCTAGTCTCCAGGTGACTCTGCTGGGTTGCTCCTTCTGAGGAGGTTGTCACTTGAAGGTCTTTTCCCCAGGTATGGCCTGTCTGGCAGTGATGTCCTGGACAACGTGGCCTACGCGCGGGGCTTCAACACGGACCACCAGACCCAGCTGCTGTTCCAGGCCTCAGCCATGATGGCAGAGTCAAGGTAACCTGGGCTCTGGGCACTGAAACACTTGTGTGTGGGGAGGAGTGGCTGGAGAGCTGCCCAGCAGAAAGGGACCTAGGGGTTCTGATTGGTAGGTGGCTGAACATGAGCCAGCAGGGTGCCCAGGTGGCCAAGAAGGCCAGTGGCATCCTGGCCTGGATTAGAAATAGCGTGGCCAGCAGGACCAGGGAGGTGATGGTTCCTTTGTAGTTGGCACTGGTGAGGCCACACCTTGAGTGCTGTGTCCAGTTTTGGGCACCTCAATAAAGAAAGACATGGAGGTGCTGGAGTGTGTCCAAAGAAGGGCAGCCAAAGAGACAAGTCTTATGAGGAGCAGCTGAGGGAACTGGGGCTTTTGGTCTGAAGGAAAAGAGGCTGAGGGGAGACCTCATCACCCTCTGCAACTGCCTGAAAGGAGGTTGTAAAGAGATAGGTGCTGGTCTCTTCTCACAAAGAACTGGTGATAGAACAAGAGGAAATGGCCTCAAGCTGCACCAGGGGAGGTTTAAACTGTGACTGAAAATGTGTTTATTGCTCTTGAAAGAAACTCTTTAGGTGAGACACGAGGAAGAAATTCTTTGCTGTGAGTGAGGGTGGTGAGAGCCTGGCCCAGGTTTCCCAGGGAAGCTGTGGCTGCCCCATCCCTGGCAGTGTTGAAGGGCAGGTTGGATGGGGCTTGGAGCAGCCTGGGCTGGTGGGAGGTGTCCCTGCCCATGGCAGGGGTGGGACTGGATGGGCTTTCGGGTCCCTTCCCACCTCAAACCATTCCACGATCCCGCGCGCTGGCAGGCGGCGAGGAGCGCCCGTAGGCAGCTCCGTGTTTGGAGGGCACTGTCGGGCTGCAGTGGGGGCACCACCCCTGCCTGGCAGTGTCTGAGAGCCTGGTCCTCACCCTCCCAGGTACGCCCTGCTGGTGGTGGACAGTGCCACGGGCCTGTACCGCACCGACTACTCGGGGCGCGGGGAACTCTCAGCACGGCAGATGCACCTGGCGCGGTTCCTGCGCATGTTGCTGCGCCTGGCGGACGAGGTAACCCTGCCCCCACGTCCTTCCCCCTCCCTGCTGCTGCCTGGCTGGGTGGGAAGCACCACTGGGGACAGCAGAGCTGTCTTGGGGTTTATTTCCCACCCCCTCCTCCTCGGTTCAGGCTGTGGAAGTGAAGGTGTTTTCCCTCCGTTGCTTCTCTCCGCGCAGTTCGGTGTGGCCGTGGTGATCACTAACCAGGTGGTGGCACAGGTGGATGGAGCAGCCATGTTTGCTGCAGATCCCAAAAAACCTATCGGGGGAAACATCATAGCACATGCTTCCACCACGAGGTGAGAACAGCTTGTCATCCCCTCAGGCCTTGCTCTGGGAGATGATGTGAAACCAGGGCCTGGAGCTCTGGGTTCTGCAGGCTCTGCCAGTGGCTGGTGCAGGGACCTTCCCAGGGGGCAGGTGCCCTTCTGAGCACTCCTTCACCTGCAGCAAAATGAACAGCTTCAGCAGCTGCTGCAGGGGGCTGTGCATGTCCTGGCAGAGCGTTGGGGTGGTGATGGTTTCCTGAGGGAAGGCTGAACACCCTGACCTGCTTTCTTCCTTCTCCCTGCCAGGCTGTACCTGCGGAAGGGCCGAGGTGAGACCAGGATATGCAAGATCTATGACTCCCCGTGCCTCCCTGAGGCTGAGGCCATGTTTGCTATCAATGCTGATGGGGTGGGAGATGCTAAAGACTGAGGACACTGTTTCCTTTCCTATGGAACCCAAGCCAAGGTGTTTGGAGCAGAATCCTTTCCTTGTAAAAAACCTCTTTCCCAGCACAGCTGCTGTTTGGATACTGGCAGAGGGATCTGAGCATAGAATCCATCAGGTTGAATCCACCTTGAGGCACATCTAGAGGTGTTGCTTGGGGGAGCTCTGCCCTCCTGGGCTTGACTCTGCCCTTAGATTGACCTGGGCTCTGGAGGACACTTCCAGAGGACATGGCCTTCGTGTTGTCCCCAGGGCTGGTGCTCCAGCTGCATTCTACCCCTGGACAGTCAGATCAAAGTCTGTGTGCCCACAGTTCATAACCTGATGAAGCTGGTGAGGGGTCTGTCAAGTAAGAAGAGCAGGGACTTGGATACTTCCTGGATTGCTCTGATGCTGTGGTCAAGCTGAGCAGTGTTCCACCAGCAGAGCTGCTGCTCACAGTCCTTATTCTTTCTGTTCCTTTTGGTTTGGATGCTGCCACGTGCTGGGGTTTGGGAGCTGTTAGTTGGTATTTCCATTCATCATTATTATTTTTTTTTTGGTATTTCATTAATTCTCTGTGCAAATTACTTTTAATAAAGAGGACCATGGAAATACTGCTGCCATGACAGGTTTCTGGGACTCAGCCAGGTGTTCATTCAGACAGGTGTTTTTATCTGCAGGCAGGGAGAAGATACATGAAATCTTCAATGAATCACCCTGGGGTTTTTTTCCCTGTTGCTGCCTGGATCACAGTCTTCTGCTGTTTGTGCCTTTGTTCATGCTAATTTCATCTAATTGACCCTTTTCTCCTTTTCAAAGTCCACTGAGGACCTTGAACTACTAAAAATTACAGAATTGTCACAGTTGGAAGAGGCCTCTAAGCTCAGCGTGTCCATCTGTCCATCCCCACAAGAAAAGGGAAGAAAAACCCAACAAACAAACAAACAAACCAACCCAAAACAACCCCACACACCACAAAAAGCACAACCCACCACCTAAGTCCTCTCAGCTGTGGTTCTCTCAGGCAGCAGAAAGGATTGTAAGAAAGCCAAGGTGGAGAACCTGGGAACTGTTGGTTCCTCTCCTCTGGGCTCTCACACAGTTTAGGCTCCAAACTCGGGGGGATTTGGAGGTTTTTAGTTTGTTTCTTTTCCACACAGGAACCTTTTCTTCAACTGTCCCAAGTCACCTTGTGCCAGCCCTGGAGCAGCTGCCCAGGCCAGTGTGTCCGTGGAGGGTTAAGCTGCCCATGGCAGAGCTCTATGACACACTCACTGAACAAGCTCATCTTAAACCTGAAGGAGACACGACTGACACCCCTTGGGTGTCACTTCTGCTGTGGCCTTGGAATACTCAGTGTCCCCAGAAGCTCCTCTGCAAACAGTGAGGAATGATGAGCAACCCCCTCCTTTCCCAGTTAACCCCCAGACTGGGCTGGGTGTTTACACAGTCCCCTGGGTCACATCCATCCAGACTGACCCTTCTAGGGGTGGGGAGGAAATTGTGCCCAAACTGAGCCCCTGTGACCCTGAGCTCCCAGGGTGGCCTCTGAGACACAGGGAGGAGCTCTGTGGAAGGTCACAACCTGCTCTGAAAACACTGGGCTCTCTGGGAGGGGTTCATGGCAGCCTTGTTCCACACCCCCCGTGCCTCAGTTTCCCCACACCCTGTGCCTCAGTTTCCCCACCCAGAGCAGGGGCTGCAGCACCAGCCTCACACTGTGACCTTGTACAACCCCTGTTCCTCAGGCCAGGGAGGGGAAAAAGAACCAAAGGCAGCAGGGCCCAAAGTCTCAGCTAACAGTTATTTTCACTGATTAGCTGTGTTAATTATGTTAATTAAACTACACAAACTCATCCCTGAGAGGCCCGTGGTGCTGCTGGGGATCCAGCCACGAGCTGAGGCTTTAAACACACTTGAGGTTTGTTCGTGGCATCATCAGCTACAAGACACAAAGGAGATGTTAAGAACTGCAGCCTCGAGGCTTCAAACCAGCAAAGGAAAAAGCCAACAGGAGGGAACCAGAGCAGAACCTTCCAGCCAGAGCTCAGAGCTCCTGCCCAGAGCCAGGGGCAGAGCCAGGGATCATCACGGGGCTGGACACAAAGGGAACGTGTCCATTGCTCCCGTGCACCAAGGCAGGGAGCTGGGGGTGCCCAGGCCCCCAGACAGCCAAAGCTTTGGTTAAGCAAAGGAAATCATTTCCCAGGTCCCTCCCAGCATCACCAGCTGCTTTCCAGGCTCCCTCATCTGAAAGGTTCATGAGCTCTGAAGTGCTCAGTGCCTGTAGGGGCTGCAAGAAGGAGAACAGCTTTTCTACCCTCCCTGGGTCAGTGAATCCAAGCCCAGTTCCCTGCAGGGTTTTACAGAGCAGGGGCTGAGCCCCGGGCTGCACCTGGGGGGATAAACAAACCTCAGCAGCACCTCCAGCCAGGCTGAGCAGCCTCTCAGCACCATCAGAACTACCAAGCAAAGCATCGTTTGTACTGAAACAAATCAGGAAACCGTTCAAGACTCCCCAGAAAGCTGCCCAGGGAGCTCAGCAGCCCCAGGCACAGGAGGGGGGTGAGGATAGGCTGTGCCTGCCCCCCACGTGCATTTTTCCCATTATTTGATGTGCTCAGACACCATCAGGCTCTTTGTAACTGGTCAGGGTGAAAACATCCCCTCTGGAGCTGCTGGCAGGCAGGGCTGATAAGCTGTGAGCCAGTCAAGGAGAGGAAATGAGATGGTACCACTGATTTATTTTTGCCAGTGCGGTTTTAATTTAAATAATAAACCCTCTCCTCCCCTCTATGTTTGTTTTTTTTAGGCAGATCATTAATCTGTGTTTGTTTTCTGGTCAGGGTTCACAGGTGGCCACAAGCCCAAGGGGCTTGGGTAGCTTTTGGGTTGTGGTTTGGTTTGGGTTTCCCTTTAACTGATTTCCCAACCCTCTCCTGTATTCTTCTTTTTACCTTGTCCTTGATCCAAAGCTCTTGGCTGGCAGCAGGAAACTGCCCCAACCCCAGCTTTGTGTGCCTCAGCAGAGCCTGTTTCCTGTGGTCAGAAAACAATGGTTATGAAAAAGCTGTTTATAAAAGTGATGTTTATTAAAATATGGATGTGATCATTAACAGGGAGGGTGGGAAACGCTGCAGGACTGGGCTGTGCTGCTGCAAAAGCAACAGCACCAAGTCATTCCCCCCTCCTTGGCACCCCCTATGGCTTGGGGATGGCACCAAAAAGTCCCTGATTAAGTTATTAAATGAATGGGAAAACTATAGAAATGTGCCCAAAGGTGGGGTTGATCTCACCAGCATCAGGCCTGGAAGGGGTGACCTGGTCCAGGTGAAGCAGCAACGTTGAACCTGGTGGGTGTGGGAGCAGGAGCAGCTCCCTGGGATGCAGGTGTTTGCTTTGATCCTTAAGGAAAACCTTCAGTTAACCAAAAAAACAACAAAAAAGAGGTGAGGGGAGAAGCACTTTAGTCTCTATGTGGCAAATGGGCACCACCCTGCAAAAGAAGGAGTGAAGGTGGCCACTTGCAGCCCTGGTTCCTGCACAAAGAGTTCCCTGACATGCTGGGATAACACCAAAAGTCTTCAGAGTGACAGGGGAGCTTTGGGTACTTGGGATGAGTTTGTCACCTGGATCCCCCTGGAAAATCTACATCATCTCTTGTTGAGTTGGACAATTTTAACCTGAAAAAAAACCCCAAACAACGCAACAACCAGCAATAAAAAACCCAACAACCCCCCCCCTCCCCAAATAAATTAAATAAATAAAACGAAGCAAAATATAAACCAAAATAAACACCCCCTCACATTTTACAAAGTCAATATTATTGGAATGCACTATTATTATGCTGTCTATCCTCATATTAATAATAATGACATTATGATCCTTACCCTCTTGCTCCTCACCCCACAGGCCACCTGAGCCCAGCTGGGTTTTTTGGCCCCTGTTTTCCCTCCCAGGCTCAGTCCTCCCGGAGCCCAGAGGTTCCTCCCACCCCAGCCCTCATGATGTGCATGGATTGCTGTGCCTGTCCTTACCTGCAGCTCTGTCTGTGTGTCTGTGCCTCCCTGTGTCTCTGTCACCCCCTGAGCTGCTGGGTCAGGAGGGGCTGAGGCTGCCCCAGGTTCAAACCAATCATCTATGGGATGGGCCAGGGACAACAACAACAATTATTATTTTTATTAATATAATATATTATTATTATATATAATTATATACATTCAGATAATAATTTATTATTACTAATAATATATTATTACTACTATGAATATTATTAGTATTATTAATAGCAATAGTTTATTATTATGTATTATATAATATATATATGTATTATGTATAATGCATATATACTATATATAATGTGTATATATTACATTGTATGTAATATATAATACATTATTATCATTATTACTACTGCTACTATTATGAATAATAATTTTATACTATATATGATGCCTATATGTGTATTATATATAGTATATATATAATGTGTATATAATATATACATACATAATGTATTATTGTTATTGTTGTTGTTATGATGATGATGCCTAGAGTGAAGCCAGAGCCATTTCCAGCCTGGCTCCTGCTCTGCTGCACCAGGAGTTACCTCTGTAGCAAAGGAATCTTTGAAATCCCCACATCAAACACGTACCTGTGTCACCAAACAAAGGCTGTTCCAACCAAACGGGACTCGCAGCTTCAGGCAAGTCCCACGAGAGCCCCAAGTCCCTGTTTTTCCCTCCCTTTTCTCCCAGGACAGGAGCCCTGAGCACCCCGGGTGTGTCCCGTGGCTCTGCTGGCCCCGGGGGGCTTTTCCCCCCCCTGAGCTCCCCAAACAGAGAAGAGAAACCACCTCTGGGGGAGATGTTATCCTTTAACTAATTATTAATAGCTTAATTAAATATGACTAGCTTAATTCATGATCAAGAGCTTAATTTCACTAGAGAAATGACACATTTCAGTTGCAACAACAAGGCACTTACCAAGCCCCCCAGGTTTTC